ATATTCATATGTTTTTGTGTGAAGACTCTAATTTTTCGCAGTTATAAATAATAATCTTCACTAGACTCTCGCCATATCTTCATAACAAATCTCCGTAACGATAGCTGGGAGGGGTTCATTGCGGTTTCGAATGTGATATCAAACACGCTGACGTCAAACGAACACTTAAAAATACGCTTCTAATTACTCATTTCGTGAGGAATCCAATATTCGTGTGATAACGAGTATTTCGTTCGAAATGAAACGAAACGAATAACTTGAAATAAGCTCCTCCAGGTCGAGCGCACAGATCGCAGGGTAATTGCCTGTCGACTCAGGAAGTTACACAGCCACTAGGACTGCGCCTTGCTTCTGGCTTCACTTCATTAAAAATGGGGCATAGCGGTGTCGGGGACACGGCCGTTTGTTTTGCTCGAATACGTCTACGTTGACGCGCTCGGACGCCTTGATGTTTATTTTACGTTCCCGGCACCGCTTCACTTGATCATATGGGGTTTCATGTGTATCATTGGATAGCTTTTGAGATGCTCGTCCCAACCATATACGATTTCTGTATTTAGACTTGGCTTTTTGACGAGTATAGGCCGACATTGTGTTAAGTTTTCTTAATTTTATACATTAAACTCATACAATTTTATCATAACCACGGCAAACAAATGTTGTTATACACGTAATCGATTTATATTGACGAGAGCTCTCGATTGAAACTCAAACGAGTGTCGTAGCTTCTCGTAGTCGAAAGTTATACTACGCGGAAGTTATGAGACGCGCCGAAACGAACTCAAAATTCCGACTACCCCCCCCCCCCCCCCCCTTGCCACGCGTGATGCTTCGCAGTCCTAATTCGACGCATAACACATGCTTTGGTCCTTTGGCAATCGAGTAGTGTAATTGAATTATGAATGTGGACGATATATTTGGAGTTGCAATGCCAAACTGTATCCCCCGATTTTGTTATCATCGGATTCTCTGGATTGCCTCCCACTATGGTTGCAAATTTAAAGACGTGTTCACGTCAAAAAGCTATGATCACGTCACGTGGCTCATATCTGCTCCGAGTCTACACATCCCAGGAGCAGTAATGACACACTGACGTTTGTCGTATGGTGACGTAGGAGCAACAGAGCTGCCAATACTCCAGATACACGTAGAGTGGCTTATAGTGAGGCTGACTGTACCACCTGCCCGACTCATTACCAACCACTATAGGATGTTCGCGATAAAATGAGCACTTTTTAGAGCCCTGCTCAAGAGTATGCACGTTTTGCATTATTCCGCCTTATGTAAGATTAACATTGTCATGGGCCTCACTACTTTACTTATCCGTAGGTCGAGTGAAACTGTGGAATTGTTATGAAAGTAAATGTTTAACAAATCAAAATTGTTAGCTAACATTTTTTCATTCGACATTAAGATACGGAACTACTTTCCCATCCATCGTTACCAACTTAACTGGGCGCATGCCACTCAGTTCGCCCTTAAAAATATATGCAGGTAGCGACAGTGACTGTTTTCTAAGGTTGATTTTGAAAGTGCTCACTTAATCGTGAACAGCCTTTACAAGCCACACACTAAAGATGAGGTAGAGCGATCTCGCTGGCTGCGCACAACCAATCCCTGAGTTGCAACATTGTATTGCCCAGCTACCAACACGTCTCATTGGATTTTAGCTTAGATAACTTATTTGTTAACAATGCTTTGAGATATATGTATACTTTTTCTAACCAATTAGCAATGCAGTTTGATTAAATTCGAATTTATAAAAGTATTTTATTCATATAAATGTACTTGTTTTTTTTTAAACTAAGATATAAACAAACACGTTCGTCACTGTTGGCCATGTGACTTTGACATCTGTGTTTCTTTAGGGTAGTTTAATGTCGATTACATGCGCAGAGGACGAATAAGTGGTCTGCCTTGTATTTATTCTACCCTACAAACGCTACCTACTATGTTAGTAAAGTATGATTTATGTTACACATGAAAGAATAATTTTGTAACACCGTAAATAATATTTTGCTTTACTTTACATATTTAAATGATTTTTGAAATTCATACTAATAAATGAAATTGAAGTGTCTGTCTGTTATTTAAAAATTGATACCAATATCTAAGTTTAATATGTTATTTAAACGATGTTTAAGCATTAATAACTTTTTTAAAATTTGTGTCTGTCTGTCTCTATCTGTCTGGATGTTTGTCCGGAATAATAGGCTCCAAAACGACTGAATAGATTTTGATGATAATTTTCAGAGATCACAGAGTTCATTTTTATTTAATATCTGCTCTTTATTTCCTATAGATATCTCAAATGGTTATGAAGTAAATTAATATTTTGATACAATTTTCTTTATGTTTCATATATGATTTTATTCCAAAAGGATTATTGTCAAAACGCTACAAAAATGTATTTTTTAAATAATAATTTACATAATACGCATAATAGAAAAACATACAATAGTTTTTGGAAAAACATAGTAAAATTAAATACCATCAAACAATCGACACTAACGCGACGATAAATCTATATCCGAAAATAAAGTAACAATCTTTCAAACCAATTATATTGGTATGTATTTTAATAACTCCATAAACCTTAAACGAAACGAAATTTATATTTTAAACATATGTAAAAAAAGTCCTAAAGTCCACGCGAACGAAGTCACGGGAACAGCTAATAAGTTAATATGGTTCTGTGTTTTTAATCACAAGCGAAGTATATTCTCAGTATAAATGCTTCAGTATTCAGATCTGTAAAAAGTAATTAATTATAATTACTATTAGTGATGATGTTCACAAGTATTTTTCATCATTGGTTTTTTGCACAGTCATTCCAGCCACGAAAGTTACCATTTTTACAACTGAAATGAAGGTGCAAAAATGAATAAACTATTATATTTTTTACTATACGAAGACTGATTCAGAAGAAATGGACTATATACAGTTGAGAGTGTACGACAAGTACGTTGTAAAGGTGACACCGCATGGGGTATGGATGCAGGAATGTCCAGCAAGGAACAAAGACAAACATGGCTGCTTCAAACCACCTCCTAGCCATGCAAACTAATCTTAAATAAGTATAGACAGTACACCAAAGGGACGACAAACCACGTGTGTGCGCATTCACGTTCATAAAGGTTGTTCACGATAAAGTGAGCAGTTTTGAAATCAACCTTAGAAAAATGTCACTACCTCTGCCTGCACATACTTTAACGGGAGCACCGAGTGGCATGCGCCTGGTTAAGTTGATAACGAGGGATAGAAAGTAGTTCCATACGTTGAAGTTGAATAATAAGTGTCAGGTTACCATTTTTGATACTTTTAATTATCTGTTTTTTTCAATGCATCAGTGTGTAAAAATTAGCAGATTTATTACATGTGTACTTTTCTAATAATTTCACAGTTTCACTTGACCGACGCATGAATAAAGTGATGAGGCCCATGGCAATGTCAATTTTATATAAGGTGAAAAAATACACAACGTGCATACAATTAGATCTTCAGCAGGGCTTTCAAAAGTGCTCATTTCACCGTGAACAGCCTGTACTGTCTTTCATAAGAACCATTTCGTACTAGGCATTACAAAAACATCTATTATCTCTCTGTTTATATTCACATCAATTATAGATGAAAAATACAGTAATGTATGGATAAAATATAAGTAAAAGGTGAGTTTAACCAAAAATATGCTTTGATGTACACAATAGTATGAAATGCATGCGATACACGACATTTTTTGGAAACAAGCAAACACGTCATACATGGGGTTATTTTTCGAAGTTTTGATCCAAGAAAATTCGAAGCTACCGCAAACAGACCACCCCAGTGCAAGCAGAAAAACAAATGTGTATACATTCTAAATTTGAATGATTGGGAAACCACTGTTTTGAGGTGAAATTCAACGACTCAAATAAGTGAAAATGACTCTGGTGGAAAAGCGCTGATTGTTTCAGTGAAAAAATTTCACTGAATGAGTTAGTGACGTTAAATTATTTCACTAATTTCATAAGTGATGGCAGACTACGGTGGTGATCTGGACTGTCACGCCAAGTTGTAATAATCTAACGAAAATATATATCTTATACTTTCGCCGCGAAATCTTGAGGATTTAAATTATATGCTCTTACTTTTTATTTTAATTGGCACCGATAGGATTGTTTAAACAAATAGTATATATGAGAGCACTATCTTCATCACATGATATGCAGTTTAAACCTTCAAACAGAGCGCTGTGATGATTACATGAAAACGAAATGAAAGGCGTAAAATCGGAATGAAAGGCTGTGTGTGCACATTACCTCGTAAAATGGCGTTTTGAAAGACGAAACACATTTTATAAAGTATTTTGTATTAGTTTTATTAGTTTATTCGTTGTTACTTCACTTGATACGCGTTGTTTAGTGGCCATTTTTATAACGTTGTTCGACAGCCATTTTTACACGCTGGTTAACTAATCCAAAATAAACCACTGGGTAAACAGTGCAAAAAATGACTAATGAATCAGTGGAAAATGCCACTGAATCAATAAGTGAAGCAAATGTGGCATTTTTCACTGATTCATCAGTTAAATTCACTGAAGTGACTGTTGAATCAGTCAGGTACGTTTGGCTGGTTGAAATAGTGAAATTCTCACTGATTCAGATTTAGAGTGTACACCAAGTTTGTTTCTGGGAGTGTATACTGGAGAATGAAGTAGGCAGGACTTAACAACAGTGCTCATTCCTCTGAGAGCAGCCTACATTCTAACTGCGTCCTTGTGTGCAAGAAGCATTCTGCCTGGGCGCCAGTCCGGCGTTCGTTTCGACCGACCACTGAACCATGAGCACTCTGCTCGCAGATCTATCTTACGTGTCTTCATCAATGGCCACTAACAGGTTTACTAATCACGCAACACGGGGCGCGTAAAAAAAACGGTACAGGTTAACTAAAGAAGTTTCGACGTAAATGATGAAAAGAGAGCGCCTAATATTTCAACTTTTTCCGAGGTAAAAAAAAAACACTGCGCCGCGCGGGAATCGAACCCGGGTCTCAAGAACGGGAATCTTGCATGATAACATTACACCAGCAGCGCGCCCTATGAATGCTTCCGCAAAAATAAGAATTTGATTATCGTATCACAGTTGTTTTCTACCACTAATTCATTTATGAGAACAATAATCATTGTCTTCATGTATCTCATTATAAACAGTCCCACTCAGATATCCAAAAATACACATATAGGATGTTCACGATAAAATGAGTACTTTTAAAGCCCTGCTTAAGATCTACTTGTAAACACGTTGTGTGTTCTTTAGCCTTATGAAAAATTAACATTGTCATGGACCTCATCACTTTATTCATGCGTCGGTCAAGTGAAACTGTGAAATTATTAGAAAAGTAAATATTTCTACTAATCTTCACATTTTTAAACTTCGGCGCATTAAAAAATACAGAAGGCGAGAGAAAGAATTTAAGTTATCACAAATGGTTACGTGACACTTCCTGTTCGACGTTAATATATGGAACTACTTTCTCCTCCAACGTTACCAACTTCACTGGACACATGTCACTCGTTACGCCCGTTAAAATATATGCAGGTAGGAGCAGTGACTTTTTTTTCTAAGGTTGATTTCAAAAGTGCTCAATTTACCGTGATCAGTCTTTAGTATGAAATAACATACTTGAAGACCACGTAGAGAAAGAATACCATGCGACCGCCATCAAAATGAAGATACATGTGACCAAGCTCGAGACTGTACATCTAAATATAAATAATAAACTACGTTATCGATTATTGCATATTTACGCCTTGTGCACTTGTACTCCATTCTCGCTTATTTACTGAAGCCCTGCTAAAGTTCTACTTGCAGTGTATCATTCCGCATCATACAAACAAAGCTTAGAAAATTACATCAGCAGAAGACCAATGCACTCCATTCGTGCGCACTCAGTGTAATAACTTTTACGTAAGAATTATTTCGTTCTATACATTGCCAACACACCTGTTTTTTCTCTGTTTTTATTCGTATTTGTTATTAATGAAATATTATAATATATGGATAAAATATAAGTAAAAGATACATTTAACTAAAAATAAGGCACTTTAATGTAAACACAAATATAAAACGCTTGTGACCCATGAGTTATTTAGGAAACAACCAAACACGTCAACATAGGGTAATTTCTCAAAGGTTTGTCTAGAAAAGTGTGAAGAAACCGCGAATAGACTATACTAAATATTGTGTTTGAATACGCAACAATTACTTTTAAATTTCGTTGTAAGACGGCATAACCTTGATTTAGGATATCTTCAGCAAGGATACGTTTCCCCTGTTCGGGTTGGCAGGCAGGGCGTGAACGCAGCTGCCCGTGCTTGCCTGAGACATGTTCGGTTCGCTCCACGACTTACACCAGCTCGGCTCGGCTCAGGCACACTAGCGCCTCGTCTCAGAACCACTCAGAGCTCAGCTACACTCGGAGCTCATCTCCTTGGCACGATGTCCTGTACCTCTGCCACGGCGGCCGAGCGGTTAGAACGCCCGCCTACCACCGAGGCGAACCGGGTTCATTCCTCGGCCGAGTCGCTCCCGGATTTTCTCATGTCGGAATCGTGCCGGACGATGCCGCTGGTTGGCGGGTTTTCTCGGGGATCTCTCGTTTCCCCCGCCCTTGCATTCTGGAGTTGCTCCATTCTCACCTCATTTCACCCCTGTCGGCTCTCGAGACCTCGATGTTAAGAACCTAGGCCGCTCTACTCAATTCTGCTTCCTTGCATGTCATCAACTGACTAGCCAGTATTAATAACGCCGGCAGTAGCGAATTTGAAAGGATGTTATTTTGAATGAAAAGGAGAAGAAGGGACTCGAAAAGTCAAAAGCAGACATTAATTTTCGTTTCAGTTACTATATGCTGTTCACGGTAAAATGAGCACTTTTGAAAGCCCCGCTTAAGATCCACTTGTATGCACTTTGTGTACTCTTCCGCCTTATGTAAAATTAGCATTGCCATAGGTCTCATCAATTTTTTTTCATATGTCGGTCAAGTGAAACTGTGGAATTATTAGAAAAGTAAACATTTTATAAATATGCAAATTTCTACACACTAAGGCGTAAAAAAGAAACAGAAAACGTAAGATTTAAATTAAATTATCACAAATGGTTACCTAACACTTTTTATTTGACGTTAACATAGCGAACTACTTTCCATCCATCGTTACCAAGTTTACTGTGTACATGTCACTCAGCGGGCGCGTTCAAATATATGCAGGCAGGGGCTGTGACATTTTTCTATGCTGCTTACAAAAGTACTCACTTGATCGTGAACAGCCTTAAACAGCGTGACTGGCAATCCACCAACACATGGACAGCACCAGCACGGTAAAGGCGGTTCATGATAGAGTGAGCACTTCTCAATTCAACCTTAGGAAAAAGACACTCTTCATGTCTGAATATTTTTTAACGGACGTACTGAGTGACATGCGCTCAGTAAAGTTGGTAATCATTTATGGAAAGTAGTTCCATATATTTAAAAAGTGTTAAGTGGCTATTTATAATTATTTAAATTATTTCTTTCGCCTTCTGGTTTTTTAAGGCATCGAAGTGTAAACATGAACAGATTTGTGAAATATTCCTTTCCTACCAGTTTCACAGTTTCACTAGTCCGGCTCATGAATAAAGTGATGAGGCCCGTGGCAATGTTAATTTTACATAAGGCGGAATTATACACAACGTGCGTACAAGTAGATCTTAAGCAGGGCTTTCTAAAGTGCTCATTTTACCGCGAATAGCGTATACAGCAAACCACAAGTTCATTGTAACAGGACCTTAATATTCATTTCTTGGTCCACGTCTTCAAAGAATGCAGCAAACTCCGTACATCACATCGACAACACTCAGAGTGTTGTCGTAATATGTAACACGTGTAATATGCGCCACATCTAGTATTCGAGTGTGTTTAGATTGCATGCTTCTATTGTACGTATACCGTAAGTATGTTAGCGTGTTAACATTTTATTAGCATACTTGAATAATGACATATGAATACATCTCATTTAGCATTTTTGTAGTTTTTCTCCTTTAATTGCGTATGCGCCATTATGCTGATTAAGTGGATTATTGGAAGGCTATTCCCGTGATACTCAACACAGTATGTTGCGGAATGATGAGCAACTTGTGTAGATACGAAAATACTATTTCAAAAATATTTCCCCCTTATTTTTACGTTTTAAAATTCTAAACTCAAAACTTACTAAATAATTATACCTGAAAGAAAAAAGTCACCTTTAAAATGAATGCATATTATACAGGTAAAAATGAATGCATATTATACAGGCAAACACCTTTGACTAAGTAATTAATGCAAGTAAATGCCAAATAAAGGCAAGTCAGAGAATATCATTATATTTCAAACTTGCATAACTTGATGTGGTACAAAATAAATCGATGCAGTGAAAATAACCGCGAGAGGAAAGCACTGGGATTAGGAAAGCATAAAGCAACAGTCGAAGTTTGGCACCTGTTCTTGGCTATCAAATTTTAAAATCAGGTGAAATAATTTTGTTTTAAAAAACTCTCACAATTTTTTTTTGTTCATCTGTGAGCCGACTTGTGAGTTTGGATTTCTTCAACTTCAGATGTCAGAAAAGTATTCACGGGTATATTGTCCATCGGAATGAATTCTATATTTTCTGTTGTGCATGTGTAATCTCGAAATAGCTACCCCATGCTCCATTTCCACGTTTAACTGACGAACACTGTGAACGAGGGTGGCATCCAACTTGTTTCCTTGTCATAAGCTGGGACTGTACAAACATGAACCAGGGGCCGTGAGTTTGAAATTATTGGTGTAAAGGGATAAACGAGGCCCCGACACTGTACTGTCGATATCCACACTCAACATCAGCCTCATTCTACCATTCTTCATCTCCCCTCTCCCTCTACCATTCTTCATCTCCCCTCTCCCTCCACCATACTTCATCTCCCCTCTCCCTCCTCCATACTTCATCTCCCCTCTCCCTCCACCATACTTCATCTCCCCTCTCCCTCCGCTATACTTCATCTCCCCTCTCCCCCTCCACCATACTTCATCTCCCCTCTCCCTCCACCATTCTTCATCTCCCCTCTCCCTCCACCATTCTTCATCTCCCCTCTCCCTCCTCCATACTTCATCTCCCCTCTCCCTCCACCATACTTCATCTCCCCTCTCCCTCCACCATACTTCATCTCCCCTCTCCCTCCACCATTCTTCATCTCCCCTCTCCCTCCTCCATACTTCATCACCCCTCTCCCTCCACCATTCTTCATCTCCCCTCTCCATCCACCATACTTCATCTCCCCTCTCCCTCCTACATACTTCATCTCCCCTCTCCCTCCTCCCATAAATAATGGATACGTCCCAGTACCTCTGGACGCAGAAAACACTCTAAAGCCCTTGTCACGCTGTCAAATTTCTCCGTCCAACTGCTTCCAATAAGATTGGCAAATAAAGTTGGACAGTTATGACGTCATTTAAACGTCAGAAACGCCGCCATTTTTGTCTGAAAAAGTTGGATGGCTTCAGTTTCCATCAAACATTTGAAAATTGAACCGGTTCTAAAATTTATTTGATGTTTGACGGTCTCAGCCAATCAGAATCTTGCACGAAAAAAATGGACGTCAAAAAATAAGAAACTTAAAATTAACGAACAATTGCTGGAAACGAAGTAAATTATGAAGATAATTAATTTATATAGAAGCTGTCTGGGCATGAATACCATTTTAAGTGAATATTGCACATAATATTACGAACTCAGAGGCATTTATTTCATTGCGCAGGAAACATATCTTATAAATAAAATTCTTATTTAGTAAAGAAATTAAAATAAATTACAATATTACTTACATTTTTTCCTGTAATGTATCTTTTGAAAAAAAAAAAAAAGGCAATATCTCACTATGAAAATAATTTTAAAATAATATTTTTATTAGATTCTCCAAATAAAAAAAATATATAGTGTGACACATTTTCAAACACATTCAAAATTATTTGATAAAATTTGTTGGAAGGAGAAATTTGTTGTCGTGTTTTGTCCTCAAATTTTATTGTCAAATACAG